TTATAGGTGGTCGCTCATCAAATTTTGGAAGATTTTGAGCTGTCAAATATTGTCCTGATTTAAAGGCGGGTCGTGATGTTCCAGATGATTATTCTCCAGGGATGGAGTTCTGTATTACAGAGGTAAAATTATTCTACCTTCAAACTCACTTTCTATTTCTTTATTATTGCTCATCGATGGGGGGACATGGCAGGTATATGAAAGACTTTTCACCATGTGAAGTGAACTACAAATTATATTGGAAAGGGATGTGGAATCAGATTCAGATTTTTGTTAATGAATGCGCCATTTGCCATCACGCCAAGTATCTCTCCCTTGCTTCGGCGGGTTTATTATGACCTCTTCCAATATCAGGATCGTATTTGGGAGGACTATCTCCATGGATTTCGTTGACTTGAGGGGTTGCCCAAATCTTTGGGGTTTGATTCTGTTCTTATTGTGGTGGATTGGCTGTCTAAATATGCGTACTCTATTCTACTGAAACATCCCTTTACAGCAGGGTCAGCAGCCAATCCTTTGTCAGCCCATGGTAAGACTCCATGGAATTCCACGAAGTATTGTCTCTGATAGAGACAAAATTTTTACAAGTATTTTCTGGGAGGAACTCTTTCACTGCAAAGGGACAATCCTTTGTCAGAGTACTGCCTACCATCCGCAAATGGACGGCCAAACCCAGGTAATTAACCAAAGCCATGAGGCATATCTTTGCTGTTTTGCTATGGATACCTTGAAAAAGTGGTTTAAATGGTTGGCATGGGCTGAATTTTGTTACAACACGTCCTTTCATTTGGGGACGAAGATGATCTCATTTGAAGTTGTTTATGGGCGTCCTTCACTGACTATCTTGACTTATGCTGCGAATTATTCCCCTCTTTCCTCCGTTGACCAGCAGGTTAAGGATTGGGATGCAATGCTTGCAACGAAAGCCCATTTACACGCTGCCAAACAGCGTATGAAAGCTCACTCCCCAATTGTTTGGGCCTTTTTGTGTCCTTGCAAAGGTTGGGCAGTGGCGTACAAATTAGCACTTCTGCATTCCACCTCCATTCACCCGGAATTTCACATCTCTTAGTTACCTAAAGTAGGCAGCCACACCCTCCCTATTTTTCGATTACCGGCTTTCTAATGATGGGGCCTTCACTGCACAACTAGTTGAAATTCTGGGAGTTCAGACAGTTGACGAGACAGAAACAGGCACGGAAGTGCTGATCCTTTGGGAAGGCGCTACAAAGGAGGAGGCAATGTGGAAACCTACTGAGTTTATTGCCACACAATTTTCAGATTTTCACAATGAGGACAAGGTGTATCAAGATAAAGAATGTATATTCTAGAAGAAGGGGTTGGGTTGGTAGGGTATGTTAAAATGAGGCAAGACCGTTAGGAGGGCAGTGTGATATTTTGTAGTAAGGGTATATACACTCCGGGTAGTGAGTTAGAGGGGCATCTTTTTGGTTATTTTTGTCTAGGAATATTTGGGAGAGGTCCAGGAGCTCTCTAATTCTCTCTTGATTCCTTGTAATTTCCTCTAATCATAAATAATGGAGTGGAAGTTTCTATCATAATAATGCTCATTCATTTTGTCTTACCGTGCTCATGTCTTGGCTATAACTGCAAAAATGGTGGTGATGGATTCATTTGTGGTTAATCTGTCTTGCAAGTACCGATAATACAGTTATGCATATATAAGTGCCAAGCATACATTGTGAGCCTGATTTCTGGTTGGTTTCTTTTTCATAGAACTTAATAGTTTCTTTCACTTCTTTGTGTAGCGGGAAAAGATTGCTATTTGAGTTGAACTTTGCATAATGGATGTCAGTTTCTGATGATTTTTTTAGGATCTGAATGTTGTGAATGACAGTTTAATTTTACTTCTGTAGGATATGGTACAAGCTGACAGGGATGATCCAAGCCTTCCTCTCGTCACTGCTCCATTTGGACATGCCTCACAGGTTCTTTGATACACATTGTTTTTTATTGAATCATGTAATGTCCTTCGATTTCTGTACGATATATATATGTACGATCTTGTCATGAAACAGGAGATTGTGAACCTACTGCTTTGTGGACAAGCCGTCCCTAATGTGTTTGATGGAAGGATGGACTTAGGTGGTGGGATGTCCCTAAAAGGCATATCTAAAAGCGTGGAAGTTGGATTCTTAACTCTTTTGGAATCTCTCAATTTCTGTAAAGTTGGCCAATATCTTAAATGCCCAAAATGGCCAATATGGGTGGTTGGGAGTGAGTCACACTACACAGTTCTCTTTGCTCTCGACACTTCTGTACAGGATGAGAATGAATTGGAAGAAAGGGAGTCACAAATACGGAAAGCTTTTGATGCCCAAGACCAGAGTGGAGGTGGCGGTTTCATCAGTGTCGAAGGCTTTCATCAAGTTCTCAGGGAAGCAAATATAAAACTTCAACCTGAGAAACTTGATAATCTTTGCAGTACAGGATTTATAGTTTGGAGTGAGTTCTGGCAGGCAATTCTGGACTTGGACAAAAACTTTGGAGGTCTGAAGGATTCAACCGGATTGATGGGTAAGAAAGTGTTCGATCTTTACCATTTTAATGGGATTGCCAAGTCAGATCTAAATGGCAACCAAATAGCCTGTGGAGGTGAGACTCCAGTACAAAGACCTAGGCTCACCAAATTGAGGGTTTCAGTTCCACCACGGTGGACTCCAGAGGAATTCATGGCAGATGTAGCTGTTTCATCTGCTTCAGTAGGAAATGAATCCTCTGGTAAAGATGTTGAGGTTTCTAAACCAGAACCATCTCAACACGCCCCACTGGTCGATTGCATCAGAACGCGCTGGCCTCGGGCCATTTGTAGTTGGGCTGGTGATCCCCCTAGTATAGTATAATAATTTGTTTTATTTGCTTCCCTTTGTGCACAATGCATGAATGATGCGGCAAAAAGACAGGGTTTGTCATTTGAAAAGCACACATAATAGGTATAAAATGTATTACTTAGAACCATACTTTCAGGCTGTTTGTGCACGAGTTGTGTTATGTTGTAGCTTTAAAACATTCAATTCGATTTTGACGTGTTGGATTACTTGAACAAAGACTTATCTGGAATTTGTCCTCATATGATATAAGATCTCTCTCTGTGCTTTGGCTGTCAATTGGAAAAGGTTCCCTGGACTCGGAAGGTCAGTACTAAGTGTCACCGCCATTCTCGTCGTCGGTTGCAGCAAGTTTTCCTACCTCTGGAGGTGAATCAGGTAATTTTATCAGAAATTATGGCTGCTTGCTTATCAATTCAATACTGTAACTGCCTTTGTATAGTGATGCTGGTCCTCACTCCCACCTCATCTTCTAGGTTCCAAGTTCTTATTGTGTAGACAAGTAACATTTAGTTTGTGTTCAAATTCATTCATATGGTAACATTTTATGTTTAAGTTTTTATTCTCGAGGAAATGTAAACTATACTTGGGGATGTGTTATATATACAATTACAACTTAGAACACTTGCTACCTCTCGAAGAAATCTTTGTCTAAACTAGTTTGAATGATGAGTGTAATGCTGATGAAAATCAAAGTGGAATAGGTTAACCATACCGAATGCAAAATGATCTCTGATCCAACTTTTGATGGCATGTCCAATGGGTAGCAAAAGCATTTGCCATATTTGAAAGCTTACAAATATAGCACCATATATTTATTTTACAAATATGGCAAAATTTTAAAATCAATTTTCGTTTTTAAGTTATTCCCTTTTTTTTTTCTTATTTTAAGTTATTCTCATTTACTAATATACTTCATATTAAATATATTAGCGATGTAATAATTTTCGTTTTTAAGTTATTCCTTTTTTTTTAAGTTATTCTCATTTACTAATATACTTCATATTAAGTATGTAAGTGATACTCTGTCAAAAAAAAAAGTATATTAGTGATATAATTGATATATCAAATATGAACTATATTATTGATAGAATTGTTATACCTAATACGAAGTATATATTAAATTAGTCTTGTTATTGAATAATATTATATACATTTTGAATAATTATTGTGCGAAATAAATAATTAATTAGTCTTGTTATTAATTTTTAAAATATTTTTCGAAGTGTAACTATAAAGTGTGTGCATAAATTATTGCATATATTATTTTTTTTAAATTATTGCTTATAAATTTATCATTATAATTTTTCTAGAACATGAAGTTTATAACGGGTATAAATGAAATGGTTAGGTTGGTTTTCGTGAAAGTTAACATATAAGTTTAAGAAAATTGAACTAAGTTGCCGTTATGGTTCCAACCGATTGAATTAACTCAATTTGGTTAATTTCTTCATTTTTTTTCAAATTTAGCTTTTACTCATAAAGTTTATGATTAAAAAAATTGTGTCGATATATAAATTAATAATTTATTGCTTGCAATTTTAATTAAAATCATTTACTTATTTATTATTAAAATTATAATTAATTAATTTTCTTATTTAGTTAATATATTTTATTAAAAAGTTAATGCATTTTTAGAAGAGTGACGAAAGATAAATATGCAAGGGAGCAATTCAAAAGAGTTGATAAAATATTGTAGCAACTTGGGGAATAATGATAAAGTACTGTAGCAATTGGTGGTGAAATATGTTGTACTAAAAAAAATACAATATAAAGGATAAATGATAAAAGTACTCAAGTGACGCTGCTTTTAAAGAAGTCTACACAAAGTTCAAGTTTTTAGTCGATCCAAACCGCAAAGTTTAGGGTATAAATCAATTTTTTTTTTTGAGTTATACGATAGTGGAGGTGAGAGACCGAACCATTAACTTTTCGATTATAAGAAGTGTATACCACTAATTATCTTGTTTAATCAGATATATTAGAATATTTAAAATGTGACGGAAGAATTGAAGGACATTAATATGATATTAACTGAAGAAGTTTTGACAACCAAATTAACATTAAGTAGTTGAACAACGATATAATAGAAATATACTTTAAATACTTAATTTGAGCAAGATTAAAAAAAAAAAAACCTTTTTAACTCAATCCAACCCAGTCAAACATGGTCCAAAATTTAAAGTATGGATAAAAATAAAAGAAAATATTAGAAAAGAGAAAATAGAAATTGTGGTGTGGGACAACAAAAGTAGGCCAATAATAGTGACGTTATTTTTGAGGATGAGAGGTTAGAGCCAATCCCAATGAAAGTGACCTTTCAAAAAAGGTTGTTCATTAAAATACAAATTTCATCACACAAAAATATGTAATATCTTGGAGCTTCCCCTTCGACCAATTATTTGGATATGGATAGAATAAACATGAAGAAACAAACCTAACAAATAAATAAATAAAAATATATATATATATATAATTTCATCTTCAAGTATACTTTTATTTTAAGGACCATTTCTTTATTTTAAATGTTGTGGTTCAATTTAAAAAATTCTGATTCAACTCTTCGAGCTTTAGTAGAAAATGAATCGATTTTAAATGTTGATGTTGATAATAATGTCGAATTCTCAATTTTAACGATAATATTGATGGCTAAAGTAAAGAGAGCTCAATAATAATTGACATATATCTCTAATTGAGAGGTTGTGAGTTCGATCCCCCTCCTTATGTTGTAAAAAAAATGATAATATTGATGAAAATATTATTGTCGATAAAAATGTTGAGGTCTTAATTTTATGAAACTATTGACGAAATGTCGATATCCATGAATATTTCTAAAAAAAATTATAAAACAAAAAATATATAAATTAACAAAGGAGCGTTTCACCATTTTTAAATAAGTTATATATTTTGCCGATATAATGAAAATGTCCATTAATCATTTGTATGGATGTCGAGTTCATAGATACATGGAAATAATGACACGTGGACAGAAATTTAAAATCCTATTTATATCTGAATCTTCAAGACCAAAGTGAAATATTTTTTTAATAATTCAAGTATTATATTCGTACTAAAAAAAGTCTATATTAAATCCACCTCAATTGACTGTATTTTTTTAGACTAATTTTTAAAGAAATATTTTCATTTTGAAAAGTTGTTTGAAGGTAGTTTGTATTTGTTTATTTTAATGACATTAACTTAAGAAACATAACATGCTTAAATAAGGCTAAATATAATGTTTGTGTGTTTTAGTTTTAATTTTTTTTATCTTAATATGTTACTTTTTTCCAAGCCAACTTCTTACTGATAACAAATTGTTAAAATTCATAAGTGATGAATTTATCTAATGAATTGTTGTGATCGAAAAAATGAGCTATAAAAGAGACGAATGAATCATGATGATCCCTTGTTAAAAATGTAAAGGACTAAAAATAGATAAATTTTGAAAGTACAAGAACCAAAATTAAAAATTAAAGTACAAGGATATCAAAAAGAACATTTTGAAAGTACTAAAATAAAAATAGATACCCTCTAAGGGCGTTGGTAGGGGCAATGGGTCTCTTGGTAATACCTATCAAAAAAAAATTCACGTTCGAACGTCTAAGTGAGTTTAATACCAAAAACTGATTTTGATACATCTCTTAGGTCCGGGGCTTGAGACGGACATAGATGTCTTGAGTTTTTGAAAAGTAAACAAAAAAACTAAACAACTTCTATTCGAGATTAGAAAAAGAAAAACCAAAACATACAAAAGACTAAAATTATAAGGATTAAAATGATATTTAGACAAAATATTTAATACCTAGACAATAAACTTACAACTTTTAAGAAGATTGAGGATGAAAGACCGAATATTGTTAATAATCTCACATTGAATAGATAAAAGACCTAATCAAATGAGTTATTAATCTCCAATTAATTTTGAGAGGTAACTTCGTGAATATTGATAAATATACGGGACAAAATTATATATTTTTTTAATATATCTTCCAAATATACCTTTGAGCATGATGTTTTAAAAACTTATCTTAAAATAAGCTTTAGGATAAGATCGATATGCACCAGATACCGTGGTAGGTGGAACAGTAAAGATATTAAATAATACAACAAATTGGAATTGAGTTTTGGAAATAATTCATTTAATTTAGCTAACATTATTTTTAAGGATAATTATATTAAACTTCATTAATCTATTAAACTATCTTATGAAAAAATATCAATTTAGTCCTTGTAGTTTTAAAAATTTCCAGTTAGTCTCCATAGTATTAAATGTTCCATTTGGTTCATGTAACCTAGCCAAATAATATAACAATGTAAACCTATCTTAATTTAGTTTCTCAATTGAAAATGTTAAAATTACGAAGGTAGTTCCTCAATTTTTTAGGTTGTATTTAATAGATCCCTAAGTATCTAATAAAGGTTTTGAACTTGTAATATTGTGCGTAATTGGTGATTGAACTTTCAATTTTGAACTTTTTATGAAACAAAAAATAGAAAATAAAAAAATGATATTACAAA